TTGTAACTTCTTTTTTTTTTAATGAGATGTCTTCCTGTCTCGCTTTTTTTTATTTTTTATGATTTATTTATCTTTATTTTATGTGCATTCGTGTGAAGGTGTCAGATCCCCTGGAACTGGATTTTCAGACAGTTGTGATCTGCCCATGTGGGTGCTGGGAATTGAACCCAAGTCCTCTGGAAGAGTAGTCAGTGCTCTTAACTGCTGAGCCATTTCTCCAGCCCCAGGTTGTAACTTCTTTAAGAACAAACCTCCCTTTTAGTCTAGTCTCCTTGCAGTTTAGTAAAATGGAAATATTTAGTGCTTAATGTTTTCTTCGTTTTAATTTACTTATATCAGAATAAATGAAAAGCCCTCTGTACATACCACAAATAAGAAACATCACTGACATTATACAGTCCTGACACATGAATATGGCTATGTTTTGGATGGATGGATGGATGGATGGATGGTTGATCACTTTGTAGCCCACGTCTCAACTTTCGAAGTGCTAAGATTACAGGTGTGTATGCAAGCATATCTGGCAACAGAGATGCCCTTCCTTCCTTGCATTGAAAACTTTCCTAGAGCGGGCATGGTGGAGTGCACCTGTAGTTCCAGAAGGTCCTGTGTTCAAGGTTAGCTTGGGCAGGATCGGAAGGGGGGGCTGTAGACAGCACCTGCCATTTACAAAGTTGTGTGCCAAACATTAAACTAGTGCAAAAATAATGTAATGTTATATTGGTTACATTGCTAACAAAGGAGAATTTGTCCAGTAGAATAGATGAAGAGTTACTTTGAGTTTTATAATTCCTAAAAAGCTCATTGAAACTATTTATCCAGCCACAGTCCATATTTCATTAAGTATTGGACATACTTTTAAATAAATTTTAAGTTCAAGAAATATATAACAGCATTTGTACTACAGTAGCAATGAAAATAAATAATTCTCCAGATACAGAAGGACCTTTGGATTACAGTGTATTTATATTCTTTAAAGCCCTGATAAAGTAAATAGGACAGATGGTGATGTCCCTGTAAACTGTAGAAAAGAGAATTCATACTTCTTCCAGGGTCAGGATAAAGCTGGTCTCTAGTTTCTTAACAGCCTGTCTTGAAATTTAAAATTAAAAGCAATTACTCAAAATGTCTACTAATGTAAACTTAATGAAGTTCAGTTTAGATTTAAACTATTTTGTGACAGAATGTGTGTAGTGTCCTTCGTCATGTTCAGAACTGTAATGTCCCTTTCCTTTTCTGCTTTGCAGAAAGTATAAGGACAGGATTCGTGGGTGGTTATAGTGCTAGGATTGTACCACCTGTATGCATGGGGAGGGGAGCAGTGTGTGGCCATGGGGTGTGGGTAAGGGTGGGTGTGAAGTGTGTGTGTGTGTGTGTGTGTAGGTGTTGGGAAGTGTATTTGTAAGGGTGTGATGGGTGTGAGGTTGTGTAAGGGTGGGTGTGGATGTGATTGTGTATGTAGGGTGAGGGTGTAAGGGTGTGTGGGGGTGGGTATGTAGGTGTAGGGGTGTGGGGGTGGGGAGTGTGTAAGGATGGGGGTATAGAGGAGTGTTGTAGTGGTGGGGTGTATTGTAGGGCTATTGTGTAGGTGTGAGCGCCTATGTAAGGGTGCAGATATGTGTAAGGGTGTGGTGGGGTTGTAGTGATGAGGTTTATGTTTGTGTGTGTGTGATAGACTACTTCTATATTAAAGATTCCTACCAACTAAGTCTCCTTTATCAAATTTTTAAGATAATTTTACCTTGAGATGTCTTAAAATTTATAACAAACACTTCTATGAATTCAGCTGAGGTCTTCACTTTAAATTCAGTTTTGCTTCTGATTATTTTTGTTAGTTCCCCTTCACCTTTTATCATCTTACTCATTCCGGTGTTTTAATTTTAATGCTACTTACGACACTCAATTACAGTATGACTGTAGCTTGAATTGTTCTCTTTTTGCTAGCCCCATAGTCTGTGTAGCCAACTTATAAGTACTAATAACTCTTCCCTAGAGAGCTGCCTCTTTAAGAGTCTTTAGGATCTCTTATGAAGAGGTACAGGCATTAGCTGCTTCAGGTGCTAAAGCTACTCTTTAGAGCTTTGTAATCATTGCAGTCACAAAGTATGGATCCAGGACTGTGGTGCAGGTTTATCCATCTCCTAATCATATGTTTTCTGAGCCACAACTTGTGATGGTGTTTGTACAGTAGATTAAGTTGGCTCATTTTTGTGTTACTTAATTTGACTGCAGCACTCTTAAAGGGGAACTATAAAGAACACTCACTTTTAGAAGGTGGGTTCCTTTAAGTTGTAAGTATTTACCAAGCTAGCAGTATTTTCTGAACTTAACCCACAAAAAGGAAAGTTTGGGTGTTAGCCTGTGCTAATATGTGGTGAGTTTCCTGTGTAAAAGCTAATCTTTCATCACAGAGACTTAAACTTCTCAAAATTAAGAAGTCTGTTTTTATTAAATGCATTGTGTATTTTATATAAAATGTTAGATGTCTGGAGCTCCTCCCATTTTATAGGGCTATGTGTTATGGCTTAGAGTTACTTTATATAGTGCAGGAGGTTACCCTTCATTGTGCTTTATTTACCTAATCTTTTTTTTTTTGCTTTGATAAATTTAGCACAATGAAACGATCCTCCTTGTTTTAAGAATATTAACATTTGCTTTTTCTGCCTAGTTTTTTATGTAAACTCTAAATAAGATAAAGTAAAATATTTCATTTATAGACCCACTAAAGTAGAGCATTTTCAAAGCAGGTAGCTGTCTCCACCCTGCTTTTCATGAAGCGTTTTTACCCATTCAAGCAGACTTTTAAAAACAGCTTGTTTTGATAGCAGACTGTTCTCCTGTGGGCCTTCAGCCTTTGCTTCCTGGCAGCACCTTTGGTGCGAAAAGCGAGTGATCAATTGGGAGACTATCAGTGCCAGCATGCATAGAGTGATAAGTTAACACACCACTGGGAGTTTCTAGGGCCCACCAAGATACTTCACTTCTAATGTGCTAACAAGCTCACTTTTCTACCTCTTGCCTCTTCAGTTATTTTTTTTCTCAGAAGAGCTTAGAAGTTGAGTGCATCAGGCATAATGAAAAGCTCTGTAGGAGGGAGAAGCAATAACCCCATTTTTCCCTTTTCAGCCAAATAGAAAATTAGTTTCTGGTAATACACAAAGGCCAGTATTTTTTGTACAAGGGGCACTGCTGTGAATCAAAGGACTCTATTAACTGCAGAAAATTCGGCAGCTGTGAATCTCCCCCAATGAAAAAAGTACTTTCCAACAAGTTGTGAGATATATGGTATTATTTAGATTGAGCAGTCAGCTTCATCCTCCTCCATTTAGAACCATACATCTTCTTTAGAAATGTGCTCTGCTACGTTTCCATCTTAAGTTTGCCTCATAAATGTCTGCTATCCTTCCATAAAACCCTTCCTTACACCGTCATTTTAATACGTCTTACCCTGTTGCTGCTATCTCAGAAGTAAAATTCTTTTAGAGTTCAGCTGCAATGTACAGAATTGAAAATAATAGATTATAAAGAGCTAGCATCCAAGTTATTTCAATATTTGACACAAAAATAAATTGTGATCCAGGAAGCTAGAATACAAGCCATTAAAAAAGCAAATGATTCATCAAAGTCAAGTCCCAATGGTGTTCAGTCTGGCCTCTAACTAGCAAGCTTTTCACCGCCTCTTATTAAACTTTTGTAAACATAGCTGTCCGTAATATCACCCATTGAATTATCAGTTTAAATTAGCTCCCAAATGATTTTTCCTAGTTTGAATTGTAATTCCTAGAATTATAGAACTGAAATATTGAATTATAATTTTTAAAAGAGAATAAAAATTTTAAGACAGAAATACTGAAATGGCTTTTAGGGGGAGAAAAAAAGCAATGAAAAAGAAAAACTAATGTGTGAATTTTTTACTGCCCCTATGTAAATGTCTGTGTGCATTTCCTTTGTCTTTGTTTATTCACTGTCCCTATGTAAATGTCACCAAATGCAGCAGGAGAACTGAAAACCTGAAGAAGAAACGTTAGGTGGTTTCTCGGTTCAGGAACTGTACGACTCCAAGTCGACATGTGTTTTTTCCTGATAATTGTCTGTTGCTGCCTGCTGCTCTACACTTTGACAGCCATTTCCATAGTTGCTTTCATGAACAACAGAAATATTCTCTCCCTTTCTTGCCCTTTCTATGCTAACAGCACAATCAGACCTGCTGAAACAGGAAGCCTGGAGTGGGTTGTTCAAAAGCAACAGCACTTCAGGGTACTGGTTGCTTGTCAATAATATCAGGGAATAATGTGTGGTACGAGCGGAGTACAGTCTCTCTCTGTCAGTGTCAGTGCCCTGGAGAAGCTTTGTTGGACAGTAGTGAGAAGCCCCGTAGACTCCTCACAAATACTCCCGCTTGTTTCCAGGTTGTAATTGATGGGGTATTTTTTTACTGACACGCAGATTCAGCTATGCATTTATCGTAACTGCATGGAGTTATTCAAGGATTATAGCAACACTAGTCTTCCATTCAAAAGGAGAACAATTGTTGAGAAAATACAGAGATTTTAAAAATTGAAGAAGATATGTAGGAATTTCACAATAAGACTTTACAAATAAAAAATGGAGAATGTGGGACATAGTATTTTAAATGCAACATAATACTTTAATTGAATGACTTTTGGGAGTAAATCTGCAGATGAATGTTGCTTAACAGGGTAGGAAGGGCTCAGGCTGACCAGCTAACAGTTGCATCTTTCCTCAAACTGTGCTAATAATAAACCGGTGTAATTATTCTCTAGTAAATTCCTGTTAAACTATCAATTGTCACGGAGTCAATAGAAATAAACTGCCACTAAAAAGTACATTTTTGTACTTTAAGAAGGGGCACTTTTAGTCATGTGTAAGAACAGGAAACAGTTCACTAAGTAAGGATGCGCTCTTATGGTCCTCGCATAAAATGTGCTTGCTCCCAGTGTACACTGCATCTCAGTTCATCCTTAACAAAAGGGAACCAGCTATGAGGAGAGAGCGCGGTACCTGCAAACAATTGTCCAGCACCATTTAGAGCCAACTACATTTGAAGACTTCGCAGCACAGGTTTTCTCTCCAGCTCCCTACCATCACTCACCTTCTGATGCAGGTAAGAAGAAACGAAGGTCTTGGTTACTTGTTACAAACTCAAAATGCAATACCCTTTTCTTCTAAATCTTGGTTGAGTAAAATTCTGATCATTGAAATATATTATTTATGACTATTTGAGTTTGGCCTGTAAATTTGTTTTCTTTTATCTGAATGTGGCTCCTTAAAAAAAATCCATAATCTTCATAACAATACATGGTCCACATCACAGTCACTGACTCTTGTGTTTCCTGGGGTTCTGAAGCAGAGGGAACTCCCCGCTTCAGAGGATCAGATTTTAAAGCCAAAGATACGATGTCATCATCTCTAACTTTATAAGTAAAGCTAAACCAGTCTAGATTTAGAAGCAATTAGTACAGAAAATTATGTTTTGATATTTGAAGATTTTAAGAGGGTAATGCATTAATACAATTAACTAATTTTAAAAAAATCAGAAAAAAATGACTCGTGGCCTTCCTATTCTGTAATATCTTGCACTCCTTACGATTGTTTCATTTATTTTATTTTCCCTCTTTAGATCATTAAGTATCAGTTCTGTTTATCTGAAGGTAAGACAAAGTGTCAACCAAAGCATCTTCTTTCTTCTCCCATTCCCTTTTTCCAGAATTAGCAAGCTCTGTGCTTGTAACTCAGACAATAAGCAGACTTAACACTGCCCTGGTTCATACTAAACATTTCAGAAGTTGTCACTAAATTCTTTCCCAGAATTATACTAACTAACCCAGGTCTGCATGAAACACTAACATGGTTTGGGGATAAAGTAACCAATGGTCGACTCCTTGACTGAACTAGTTATGCCCTGTTATATTGACTTCTTCTGTTTGTTTGTTTCTCAGCATGAAAAGTAGCACTATTGAATTGACTTCGTGTGTCTTTGTATTTTTGCAACACATTCTATTGTTACCAGATATCTGAACTCATGGTTGGCTTTTCTCTGTGTGCCTTGCACTGAACTGGGCACCTGAAGTCCAGGGATGGGTCTTGTGGTGATGTCAAGGGAAGCAGGACGAACATAATAGGAACTTGGCCACAATATACTGCTTCCGATTCTCGTTACATCAACTCTGTCTCTTTATAGCAGATAAATTTAAACACACAACAATTTTTGTAACCTAATCTGTTTTTAAATAGAATTGTAATTCTCAGTTGAAGTTTCATTAGTGAAATTTAAGTTTTCCTTCCGGTAATAATTAATTTGCCATCCGAAAAGTAATTTTGCCAAAGAATTTAGAAACCTTTCAACTAAAATAAAAGACCTAGCAAAGAGAAATAGGTTATCTGAGATGAAAATAGTATAAAAAGTGTAAGATTAATGTTCATAGATGGGCACTAAATAAAAATGATCAGTTTGGCATTAAGATTAAAAAAAAAGGTGAAAGATAGGTATCAGAGGTGAATTAGTGAACGGCAGAATGAAAACCCCTTTGTATACCTGGGCATTGGCATTGTCAGTCATGGAGCCATCTGATGAGAGATGTGAGGCCATGTTAAGTGATAGGAATAAGACTTTGTCCCTTGTAGCCAACAAGTTCCATGGTCAGGAAATAGTGGGCTCCACACTGGGCTCGCTCTCTGCATCTGCTCCCAAGTGCTGCTCCACTCCTATTGCTGTTCACCAGCTCGAATCTTTAGGGTTTGTTTGTCGTCTTGAAGTTCTTTTTACTTTTGCTGTATTTCCTGAACAGGTAGACACGTAGGAAGTGACATTTTGAGTGTCGGAACATTTAGCACAGGATGTTGTTAAAGTAGCCATCCAAGGCTCTGTTGACTTCATTTTAAATGTGTGAATGTTCTTATGAATTTATTCAACGTGACACTTGATATGATTGTTATCTAAACAATAATTAAAAATATGAATTTAAACATGGACCTATTATTGTGTTATAATTTTTAAGTTAAAATCTTTTAAATTATCTCTGCCTTTTAGACCATTAGACATATGCTCTGGTAAAGGTGTTCTAACTCTGAATGACATGTAGCAATATTAATCATTTATTGTAGACTTTAATAGTTATGACAATTTTTATCAGAATGATACTACACAGTTCAACACAATAAAAACTATAGTTACAAAACATAGTACCTGAATAATAATTTTTCTTCCATTTATTTTTTTCCTTTCATATTTCACCTCTTACATAGAAAACAATCCTTTATACTTTAAGTCAAAATGAGAAACTTTGAAATAAGTATGTCATAACAATTGGGATCTAACTGCTCCTTTGCAAAACTGACATAGCACGATGTTTATTGATTTTTTTTTTTTTTGAGACAAGAGTCTTACTACATGGCCCAGGTTAGCTTTGAACTCTTCTGAACACTAGGATTGTATATAGGCTTGCACCAAGTTTTTTAATTATCAAGTTTCTTTGCCCCCTTTAGGAAACGGATTATTGCAATTGAGAATCAACTTTAGATATCCTGTGTATATAAAATAATACTAATCAATAATTATATACGTAAAATTAAGTTCTTAAAGAATGCTAATATATAGGTATTCCTTGTAGCCAACCCTGTAATATACTTTATTTAGACTCAGTGGAATGGTATTGAGAACTATATTCATAGAGGACTGGAAGGATAGCCCAGTGGTAGATGTATGTTTACCAGACTCAGAGCCCTGGCTGAGCTCATTCCCTAACTGGGGAGGGGGTAAATGGGGGGAGTATATGTGTATTTATATAATTTGGCTCATCTAAAATTTCCTGGTTAACAGTAATCGACTAATAGTGGTGACATTTAAATCTAAAAAAATTTTCATGTAACTTTATTTAAATAGATGTGAAAGATTTCGGTATATAATTGATCCATAAATTTCATAACTGTGTTTTCTCAAAATGTACTGTCTGTGCCACTAGACTGATAACTTAAGGGAAATTATTTTTATCCCTAAGGTCATTGAGGGAAATACTGTGATGTCACACAGTGTTGATCTTCCATAACTACATTAAAACATTATTAAATTTTTCTTGTCCTTTATTTAAAAAAAAGTTACAGGAAATTTTGCTTTATCTTTGTCAGGCATGAATGTGGAAAATATCAAATATATGTATATGTATATATATGACACATTTCTTCTTACTGTAAATTTGAAAATAAAATTGTTCTTGTTCCTGACCATATTACAGTGATAGTTCAAAAATATTCATATTTTTCCCTCATGTAACCTGGATTTTTTGCCATTAAAAATTATAAAATTATATTAAGGAACAAAATCCTATTTTGTTATGAACAATAAATACTAATTAGTTTGTCTTTCATAATTTCACCATTAAAAATATACCCAGAATTCTAGTCCTAGTATTTTTGTTGTATCAATCATAAAATATTATATAGTATATGGAATTACATGTAAATCTAATACTACCTATTTTTGAGTTGTTTTTTTAGCAGCTTAGCTATTCTTTAACAATTAATGAGTTGACTAATAACTTGATTATCTATGTATGTACATGAATATATGTATATATAGATAAGTTTATATTTACACTGTATTTATATGTGTATTTAGAAAATGTCAGTCTTACTGTTCTTTCCCATGCTAGTGTTGCCATGTGTGATAGTTTAGAATGTATGGCTGTCAAGTCTTTCTAAATCTTTAAGGAGGACATGTCATCAAAATTAGACATTGTTTTAGGTACTTTAAGCTCAGAGTCCTTTAAATGTTAAAGTATTTCCTGCTCAAATTTGTGTGTCAGTGGATTAATCCAAATTGTAGACAGGAAGATAAGTTCTTTTTAGTATCTGCAACTTGGAAATTTGACTTTTATGTTATTAACCAGTAGATAAAATTGAGTTAAATAGCATAATTTGTGGCAATAATAACTGGCTTCAGCTTTTATATAGAACACTCATTAAGTTTTCATATAGAACACTCATGAAGTAATAATTGAGTGTGAGACACTGTGCCTACTGCAGTCTCTGGACCCTTTCATTACATCCTCACAGCATGTCTGTGCAACCTTGAAGGGGAAAGAATGATCCCAGGAGCACCTCACAGGTGGCAAGGTCAGCCTTGTACCCTGACCCTGTCTGCCTCAGAGCTCACGGTCTCAACATCACAGTTGTCATTGGTCTTTCAGCCCTTACTATTGCTAGCAGTGAGAGAGGGAGAGAGTCAGGGGGAGGGAGAGAGGAAGGCAATGGAGGGGGGGGAGAGAGAGGGGAGAGAGAGAGAGAGAGATAGTTAGTTAGTTAGTTTGTGGGTTGCCAGGGAAGAAGTATATTTTGAAATAGACTAGATTTAAATTATACTCCTGACATTTATACTGCATGAAGTCAAGACAGTCTGTGCTATACCAGTTTTCTCATTTGTAAGGTAGAGAGAAGATACAAGAAACCTGACCTTGTTTATTCAGGTCTACAGCGATAGTTTTTCAGTTCTTAAAGTGAAACCACTTGTTGGCCTATTTTTCTGTACAATTTGTTTTGAATAATGTGTTACTTCCTTTGTGACAGTTTGGGGCAGTGTCCATGTAATCTCAGTCATTGACTCTGTGAACCTTTAAGGCTGTATTTTATAGTACAGTCAACATAAAAGAGGACAAATTCTTTGATTTCTGAAAATTAAACTTAAATGTACGTTACAGATATTCTCCACATTTGAATGATTTCATAGGTAATTATTTTATCCAAAAATATTTCTAGTTTCTACTCTTCCTTCCAAATCCTTATCTGTTCTGATTCAGAGTCTCCTATTTGCTCTGTAAGAACTTTTTGGATTTTTTTCGAGACAGGGTTTCTCCGTAACTTTTTTTTTGGTTCCTGTCCTGGAACTAGCTCTTGTAGTCCAGGCTGGCCTCGAACTCACAGAGATCCGCCTGCTTCTGCCTCCCGAGTGCTGGGATTAACCACCACTGCCCGGCTCTGTAAGAACTTTTTATGTAGCTATACTTACTTTGTACCTGTTACACACCAGGCCCTTTGCTACATAGTCATTAATCTCCACAACTTGACAAGGTAGCTATTATTGTCCCCATTTCACAAATAAGAAAACTACTCCAGTCAGCTTGCCCGATATGGAACAGTCAATAAAGCAAGAGATGGGCCAGCAAAATGACTCGGCAAGTAAGGTGTTTACCACCAAGCCAGACAACCTAAGTTTGCTCCTCAGGAACATATGGTAGAGGAAGAGAAGAGGTTCTCACAAGCTGTCCTCTGCAGTCCACACATGTACCATGGCATTCATGCACACAGATGGAGAGGGAATAAAAAACAAACAAATGTGAATACATAATAATTATTATTATTATAAAGAGTCCAGAAGTCCCTAACCTATTCTTTCTAATATGTTTACATTGTCTTTTAATTCATATAATTGAAGATGCTTTCAAAGTAACAATATTTCAAAGACTTTATTAGCCAAATACTTTAGGAAGTTTTAAAGTGGTCATGCTTACCAACAGACAGTATAGACCAAACCAAAATAAATTTTAAAACCATTTATATTCCCTTTTAAAATGTCTGTGGAGCCCCCAAAGTCATATCCATGGTATCACTTATGATGGTTTATTGTACTCAGCATGTGGTATACCAGCTTGTACTGCATGAACATAGGAGCCATGGGTACTTGCACTACCCTGGAAGATACAGTAGACACAGGAATAACTCAGTCCTATCTTCATGACTCACGTGGTGTAAATCAATAATTAGGAAGGATAGGTTGTGGCAGGAAATGGCAAGTGTGACTGTTTTCTTTCCAAATCCAAGCTGAGGCCTCCTCGTCTGCGCTGCTGTGGAGTGGCTGTGCTAGTGTCCTCCACATGTGTCGTCTGCAGAGGCGTTAGCGTGACGCCTACACCAGCCCTGCCTGCCTCCATTGATTTTTAATTGTGCAAAAGGAAATTTAATCATTTTTAATGTGGCTATAGCTACCTCGTTATACAGTTCCTTTCTCGAGTTCTTATGACCGAATTGGGAGGCAATAAAGAAGACATGGGACAATTGCTGATTTTGAAGAAAGCCGATTCTAAATAGGGAAATGGGGCATGCACCCTGATTCCCAGAGACGGGCTTTCTTTACAGCCATTAAAAAGTCATGGGAAACCAGTAATTCTCATTGTCAGGCTGCCTTCAAGAATTTGAGAGTTTCAACCAACAAAAACAGTTGATGGAAAAATTTTGGTTTTCTCCAGAGTCTTCATTCTAGCACTAGGTTTGAGGTAAAGAAATACTCTCCTGGGAGGCTTGACAGCAGGTTCTTGTCGGTAAACTGCTGTGGTGATGTAAATGTCACGTGTCTGCTCTATCCAAGATGACAGCAGCTAACCAGGCGTGACTCAATGCTTGAATATGGATAGCGTAGCAAGGAATTTCAATTTCCAGTTTTAATTATATGAAATCTGAACTATTACCTCATACATAGTTGTAGCTATTACCTCTTTACACTGTCTCTCTGAGATCCAGTGACTGAATTGTAAGACAATCAGTGCACACGTTAGACAGTAGTTTCTCGGCTCTCTCACAGACTTTTTCCTATTCTCTTTTCCTGTTTGAACTTGTTTTGTTAGTTGGTAAGTATGGCATCTGAACCAGCGGAGCACTGGCCACTGTGGAACGTCACCACCCGAACTCATTGCATGCCAGTTGTGTTCATAATACCACCCTGATTGCTCTCCGTTACTCGGGTAACGCCTGTCGTCTATCTTCTCTTTTGTTCTCCATTCTGCCTGCTACTACGTTTCTTCCTTCACAGCAGAAAGGCATGTACTGCTAGTTCTGGCCCTCCCAACCTCCGCCAGAGACACTGGCCTTCGGGAACAGCACTGGGAGGGAAGACCTCTCCTCACAGCAGCACCTGCGTGGCACCGGGAAGCTCAGCTACTGCTCCTTGCTGTCTTTCCCGCTCTGGTGCCAGGCTTCCCTAAGGGGCTGTGGATGCACATTCTCTGAGTATTCTGATCTGCGTCTACTATGAGCCCCCTCAGATCATCGGGAAGAGAAATTTTGGAAAAAAAAAAACTTCCTGCTTTATAGACCAGCCTCATCCGGGCTAGAAAAGAAATGTTGGGGAAGAGATGGGAAATGTTGAGCAGGCAGTACACGGGTACAAGTGGCAGAATAGTTTCCCTTGGAGATGTCTGTCTGTCCCTAAGTATAATTTTAGTACTTTTCCTTTAAAAGTACTTTGGAGAATTCTTTGGAGATATGTTCTTAAGATACCTCAGCAGGATCTGTTATTGAGCATTTTTGGTTTTCTCTTAGAAATATGTATACCTTCATTTTAAGCATGGGTGTTCCATTACATTGAAACACTAGCATAATTACTCCCAAGCCAAATGTCAGTGAGAAGAAATGCCCTGTAAATGACACAGGGTTTCCCTATTTGAATTTGTTTTGCCTATTTTTAAATTCCGTGTCTACTAATTCTACTGCTAACTGTAAACATCTAAGCTAATGAACACAAAAATCAATACCTAAAGACATTTTTCTGAGGTCAGTTTGTCTTTTCTGACTGGCTTTCAAATGAAATATCTTTTTCCTTCTCGCAAGAATTTGTCTGCTCTTTCTACAACTACTTACGTACCTAGCATGGTCTCCTGAGGACCTTCCTGTTTGGAGTCTCGCATGTAGTGTGAGGGTGTCCTATGGCTGCGCAGTGTGGCTGGTCTTCCTTCCCACCTTCCGTGCCCTGCTCTGCATGCTGGTGGTGCTTTGGGTCGCTGTTCTTTCAGACCCAAAGATTTTATTTCCCATTGCTGTTTCCAGGGTGCTGGCTCTGGATATGATGATTGGTGCTTTCTTTAATATGACATGAGCCACCAGAGCTCAGGGTTTTGGATACATTAGTAAACTCTGGGGATTGCTTTTTTAACTTCTGAAGTCCTTGTGAGGGGTGGGGATCCTGCTCCGGATAGCAGCAGGAGGTGGTTATGGTCTGGGACTGGAGAATACTGACATGCTCGCTCTCTCCCACAGGATCCTACCCAGAGAGTCTACCCAGTGACGCTCCCACAGCAGCACAGGTAGATGGGGCTGACCTGGCCTCTCCAATGTCTCCTCGAACTAGCAAAAGCCGCATGTCCATGAAGCTGCGTCGGTCCTCTGGCTCAGCCAATAAATCCTAAGGAGACACACAGCCCAGCAGTGATCAGCAGTAGCCACCCTGGCACAAACATAGTGTTAACTCTTTCAGGCCTCATGTTTGCCACAGCATTCATGTTTCTTCCTGTACACTTCTTTGAGAAAACACTGGACTTAAAGCAATTTGCAACTTGTTATTTTAAATTTGGACTATTTATTTAGTTCAGGTTTTTTCCCACACTCCATGCTGTCATATTCTGAGGGGATCGAGTTTTAATTCATACTCTTGACCTTCCTAGATAATCATGTCTAATTAGTGCTACCTTCAAGTTCATGATTAATGTTGAGCCAAAATATAATTGGACAGATAGTCTTGTGTTATTTATTGTGCCTCATTACAACTTTATAATTTAATAAATACATAGTTTTTACAAATGTAACAATTTTTGTAGTGCTGGGAGTGGAAGCCAGCATCCCAAACATGCTAGGCAAGCACACTGTCCTTCACAGCCCAGTTCTACAATATAAATGACTGTAAGCATTTATAAAGCTAGAGCAAAAACTGCACATGTTCGTTATGTAGGATGTGCACAGACTGTTTGTTACAGACAGAAACTTTAATGGCCATGCAGCAGCTCAGATTCCAACTGAAATTACATTCATTAACTTTTTCCTCCCAAGTCAGTGTCTCATTTCTCGGCAGCGCAGATGACGACACAACCTCTCGAATAACTAGGAAAATCACCACAGGACTTTGATTTCTTTTAGCTCCCAAACAACTTTGTTCTGCTGTTTGAGGTGGTATCACTGTTGAGTACCATTTCTGTTTGGAGGTTGTGGTCCTATATCACTGACCAGTTTATCCTGGTGTGTCTGTGTGCGCTCCAGAGTACCAAAAGAGAAGGTTGTAGAGAGGAGGGTGGAAGACTGTTCTCATATAAATGTTTGCTCAAATTATGTGTATTGTTTAAAAAGTAAGGGAACATAACCCAGGAGTCTAAGTTAAATCTAATATTTTAGTACTGAACTTGCTGCAGGTGCAGGTTGTTATGCATCCCACCTCCAGAAGTATTTCCTGTACTCAATAAGCTGCCCCCTTTTGTTTAACATGGGCATCTCCTAAGGAAATGTAGCATGATTGATACCAACTGCATGTGTAAATACATCATCCTGACAAACCACAGAATATAAATTATGTATCATTCATGTAGTGTCTACAGATTTGTAATGGGATAAAAAGATGACATGGTATTTAATAAAACAAAATAAAATATTCTTCACACTTCCTGTCCATGATTGTATTCTATTCGTGTGTTTTCAGACTTAAAAGCAGCAGGGCTGTGTAATTGGGAGATGTAACATGCCCCCTAGGGTAGCTTAGCTAATCATGAAAAAATAAACATAAACACAAACGCCATTTTCAGAAGCAGCCCAGTGCGCTTCTCGGAGGTCCTCCCACTGTCAGTTCCAGCACAGGAAGTCTACCGCTTCCTAAGTCTGCCAGAAAGTCGACCAAAATCAACGTATCTCTCTCATGACATTTGACTTGTTACATTTCAGTGTTTTTTAGTATACTTTCAGGAATAAAATATTTTACCAAATTTTGGAGTTCCTGTACACCTTTTAAATTAGTGCTCATAAATAAAACAATTAGATGAGTAGAGAAATCCTGTGGGAATGTGTTTAAAACAGTGTAGTTTCCCACAGCCAACAGAAAGAATTTTTCAAAGAAAAATCAAACTTCCTATATATTTCTATTGTATTGATAACAGGTAACAAGACAGACAGAAATGCTGATTTGAAATAGTGAAACTGATTAGCACCATTTATATAATTTCTGTAACCCCGTTGAATGGACTTAAAACAAGCAAAAAAAAAAAGTGTATTTTCTCCATGGAGCTGCAGTCTGCAGCTAGACTCTAAAGGAGGAAGTCCCACTGCATTTCAACACGATGGCATTTGTTTTTTTTCAAAATAGGTCCCTAAGGTCCTAAAGTTGAGTGTTGGTATTGAGGAAGTAAGAGATGTGCCTTGGAAAATACACTGTGTCCAACCACTTAAGACAGAATGAAACAGGCACGGTCTACATACATTTATTTGGTGGAAGCAGCTTACAAATCTATTGTTGGATAGTGCTCAGCCAGTATCCCAGACTCTGGCTATTGAGGGAATAGATACAGAATATACATTGAATATGATTTACAAATAAATTCAAATGTTCCTGAAAAGAATATATAGAATATTGAGTGAATTGATTGACATTCAGTTCCATAGTGGGCTACAGGTGTTAACATCTTCCTTAAGTTGAACAGTTTACAATGCAGTGTGCAGCAGATTTACAGCAAATTGTAATAATTTGAATGAAATCTTTCTAAAACATTCAAATTTTAGGAATGAGTATAGTATTTAAAAAAAAAAGAAAAAGGTTATGTAAAGAAAACCTTTAGCTCCTGGATGCAGCACATAAAATGGGTAAAGAATGCAGAGGTCACACCAACTCCTTCCCGCACCTCCAAAACCTAATTTAAAAGAAGGGACGAATACATTCAATTGAGGAAAGAAAGTTCCAGGGATATTTTCACACCGGACAGCAGCATCCTCTTATATTCCTGTCCATCTACAAGGGTCTAAGTCTTCCTTCCCTGCAAGTTTGGCATCAGTCACATAGCTTGGTTCACAGAATATACAAGGCAAGAAATCTGACCCTATTGAGACAGAAACGACGTAAGTGCCTGCGGTGGCAAGAGGAGAAATGGTCGATGACCACCACTTCAGGAAAAACCTTGTATACACACTGAGACTTGCACGCATTCACTGCGACTTTCCATAGGAACTACAAACCATATAGGATTCATTGGGGTCTCCAGCGTTTTAAGGAAGGGGATGCCCTATTTTAGTGGAGAAATGAGGATTTTAAAGCTGTCAGCTTTGATCATGAATTTTTATGCCAGATACATACCTGCTCTAGAGGGGGTTTTACAACTCGCTGCCTTCTCCCCGGGCGGATCATGACTAGGAGAGTTTTAAGAGGGAAGGCAAGGGAAGAAAAGAGGAAATTGCAAGATGAAAAAAAGCCCCACAGGAGTTCCCGTATTGTTTTCTCCAGCCATTCTGGAAATCTCGCCAGGCCTGGGACCCTCAGCAGCCAGGCCTCAGTGGCATCTGCAGCAGCAGCACTTGCCGGCTTTCTGAGGGGTGACACTTATTGATGTGCCGGGTCAAGCCCGGGGAGCTAAAAAAAGTGGAAGGGCAGTACTTGCATGAGAAAATCTGCTGAGTGCTACCGTCGGATCCCCCTCCAGGGCCCGCTTCCGAAGGAGCCCCGACCAAGGCGGGCAGTAGCAGCTCCTCGCGGACAGCATGCCATAGCCGGTGCTTCTCTCGGATATCCGCGGACGGGAAGTGCGCCCCGCAAAGCGGGCACGCAAATGCAAGTGGGGCTGTGTGCTCCGAGCCGAAACCTGGGGCTGGTGCTCGCGCCGGGCCCGCCTCGTGGGTGCCCAGGTGCTTGCGCAGATAGGCTTGGCGACGGAACTTTTTGTGGCAATACGGGCACACGAAGACCTCGGATGTCGCCCCCGGGCTGGCACCGCCTGGCCCAAGACCGCGGCGCCCTAGCATCACCTCGGGGTAGGGAGCCTGCGGTCGTGCTGCCTCCGGGTGCACCAACGCCTGCAGGCCTGGGCGCGCGGCGCTGTCCCGGTGCTGACCGTCCCCGGAGCTGTCCCGTACCTGCGGGTGCTGATCGTCGGTCCGCGGCATGCGGCCGTTCTCCTTGCCCGCCGCCAGGGAGGGGTCCGGAGGGGTCAACGGCGCGGAGGGAGGTTTACTCGCGGCGCAGGACGGCGCGGGACGTGGCTTGTGCCAGCGGCGGTGGGAGGCGAGGTTCGCGGGGCAGCTGAAGACCTTGTCGCACTCGGGACAGCGGTACTCGACGCGCACGATGCGGGAGCAGCGGTGTTGAGCCAGCGCGAAGGGGTCCGCGTACTGCTGCTTGCACAGTTGGCAGATGAACTCCCCCAGCGGCGTGCGGACGCCGCCCAAAGCCCGCGCCGGCTCCCCGGGCTCCTCCTCCTTGATCTTTAGACCGAGCACCGGGGACGTGGTCACCTCGTCTGCAAAGCTCAGCCTCCTCACCGCCTTAGGCTTCCTGACGGCCGCGGGTGCTGATGCGCAGCCCAGGGCGCCCTTGCCCCGGCGCTGGAGGCTGTGCGGGGCAGGGACGGGCGCCGGTGCGGGGACAGAGCTGGGGACGGCAACCCGAGACGGCACCAACTGCTCCCCCGAGGTCGCGGCCGCGGGCGCCGCGGAGCAGAAGGCTGTGGCGCTGGGGAAGGACTCGGCCGAGACTGGTGAGCGCAGGCAACGCTCCAGGAACGCGCGGCGCAGCTCGGGGCCCGCCGGCCTCGCGGGGCTGGGTCCCGGGCCGTCTCCGCCACCCGCGCCCCACTCGGCGCCGTCCAACGCGGGCTCGAAGCAAGGGGACCCCGACAGCCCCCGGCTGGGCTCCTCGGGGGAGGGCGGTGCAGCGCGGGGACCCGGAGGGTGGAAAAGCGGTTCGGCCGGGCGCGAGCGGTAGGAGCTGCCCGAGCGCTTGGTTCGCTTCACCAGGAAGCCCCTCGGCATGGTGGGTCGGGTGCGTGTGCTAGCCCCGAAGCTAGGCGGGCTGGGCCGGACCGGGCATGCGGCGACCCGCTTTATAGCTAAGACGCCGGGCCGGGTCGGGCCGGGCCCCTCGAGCTGCGCCGGCCAATCAGGAGTGGGAGCGGATCCCGGGGCGGGGCCTTCGCCGGGCCGGGCCCCGGGATCGGGACGCGGGAAGATGAGCGGGCGCGAGGGGCTTGGAGCGCCCTGTCCTGCCTCCAGGGACCGCGCGCTGGGGACCCGGGCGCCACCAGCCCGCCACGCGCCGGGAGCAGACCGAGCCCGCGCCTGGGCGTCGGGCTGAAAGACTACGCCGCCGCGAGAGGACAACGGAGGGACGACCGCCGCGACAGGGTGGGAATCCGTGCGGGAACGGGTTAATGTCCTCTGCCAGGACTGAGCTGATGAGAAGCAGAGAACGAACTGCAGGGCGGCTCAATCCGCCGTCCTGTGCCTACACTTGACGGCGAGAGCACGTCTGCCATCCAGTATCGATCCGGACTGCGCGCGTCTGTGATACTATGAGAATTCATCTGGAGAGAAGGGCTCTCGGCGCCGCCGCAGATCGTGCGTGCTGGCAAACCTCTGGAGCTCAGAACGCTGCACGGTTCGGGCATTGAGCTCTTGGCTGATAAGTGCCTCCTCCCCTGGGGGAAGAGGAGTGGGGAGGGGAAGGGATCTAATTTTCGGCTGTCCTCACATAAAGTGGTTTCTCTGTTCACACTTTCCACTTAAGCTACCCAGAGACATGACTTAATGCCTAGCTGGCCTGTTTAGCATGGAGGAGATTGAGTGAGAAATGCTGGTGGAATCGGCCTCGCATCTGCTTCCCTGTACATGACAAGGGACTCTGCAAGGGATGTGCGGTAGACCCAACTCAACAGATTGTCGTCTGGCCCCCTGCCACCAGTCCTGCACTTCGCTGTTGTTGTTAAGAAACAGAAGAGATTTTAAAGTTTGTAATACTAAGTGAACAGTGAAATAATCAGCCAGTATTCAGCAGAGGGACCGTGCCAGCCTTTTTTTTTTTTTTTTGGTTTTTCGAGACAGGGTTTCTCTGTGGCTTTGGAGCCTGTCCTGGAACTAGCTCTCTAGACCAGGCTGGTCTCGAACTCACAGAGATCCGCCCACCTCTGCCTCCCGAGTGCTGGGATTAAAGGCGTGCGCCACCATCGCCCGGCGTCGTGCCAGCCTTTAATAACAAAAACCTGTGCAGTGTGAGAAGAGGAAGGGCAAAGAACTGTGCTCAAGACTGCTCGCAAAAATAATAATAATAATAATAATAATAAAATAAAATAAAAATAAAAATCTGGAGTGTAGACTAAGGGCCCCACTATCAGTGAAGTGATTTTACATGGAGGACACTATTTAAGGAAAGGGGCACAAATATCTATTCGACTCTGATTATGTATCAGATTATGCAGAGAGAGAGAGAGAAAGAGAGAGAGAGAGAGAGAGAGAGAGAGAGAGAGCTCTTTACACAATAGGTAGATTAAGTTAGAATGTAGATGACTAGCAAGAATCACACAGGACAAATTCAAACCAAAGCCTGGCAGATTCCAATGCCTAGATTCTTTCTATTACACCAGTAACTTCAAACTACTTCTTTAACTGCCTCTCACAATGAGCAGGAAGTCTTAAAGTACACACACACACCTGAAAACAAGTTTCAAAAAATAATACTTAACAACACACTAGATTCTCAGGTTTTCTGGCCAGTCCCATTGTGTCTTAAGGACTGGATTAAGACCAGAAGTTACGGTGCTTCTCATTAAATAGTGTGGAGTCGTGTACAATATTTTGCTATCAAAACTCATATCTGAATCACTAAAATGCTGTGGTCCTAAGTAGCTTGATAAGCTCAGTTTCCCAAGCTGATCATTTCTGACATGTCGGCTACACATGACATCACTTCTAACACAAACTTATCTCTGTCTTCCTCTTATTCTTTCTTCTCATGACCCAGAAATACTTGTGATGTGGAAACACAGGTGTAAGGATGGTAATACTTTAAGATAGACCCTTGCCAGGAAGGCTTTTTCCCTGAGCCAAAAAACATTGCCACGTGTTTTCCCTAAGATCCTATAGTGCCCCGCCCCCTTCAATAACAGCCCTCTGGAAAGCCGTGTACACCAGGAACTTTTTTAAAAAATATCTTAATCTGACACTTTCTGGAAAATATTTCTAAAGAAAATTGTTTACCACCTAGTATTGGTGATTGTAGATGATCTGAAATATCATTGTGAAGCTGGAGATGGCGAGTTAGCCATAAGCATCCACAGAACTAAAAGTGAACATCATGGCGGTAAGCGTAAATGACAGGGCATCAAGGTGCTCAACTATGGGGGAATAAAATGCAGACACTGGGAGGAAACTGTGCCAAAGTGTTGTTGTAATGTTCCTCTACCCAGTAAGAATTGTAAGAGTTTTTAGATTTTTTAAGTACCCTGCAAAAAGAACACACAACTCTGGTTATCAGAAGGAAAAAAAAAAAACAAAGAATACATCACCAAAAAAGCTAGGATTAAATGTGGCAGCTTTCCCTAGGACACCACAAACACCAAATGGAGACTTGTATATTTCCTAAGCATTCTCTGTGTCCCTGACAGAGGTAGCGGTCTCTGCCATATAGAACTTCCAACTGGAGAGCACTCCTAGGAATTGAAAATTGGAAAGATTTAAAACGTTGGTGAACGAAAGGACTTGTAGCACACTTCCCACTCGGGTAGAAACCTGGAGGATTCTTCAGAACACCAGCAATCCTTTCTGTCTTCTCACATCAAGATGTAGAGAGTGGAGCCCAGAAAGTGAGTGAAAGTTTGTGGTACCCACCTCCTTCCTCTTCAGGCTGCCAACATGTTCCTCCTTTTAAACATGTAGAACCTTCTTCTGCTCCATCATACTTGGACAAAAACTCATGTGTGCAGAATCATCTCTCAAGATTAAAGTCTTTAGTTGTGGAATAAGTTTGACTTCAATTCATAAATTTTGAAGGGAGAAAGGACTTGACAGCAGAAGGGAGACAAGTGGGAAGAACGGGGGGGGGGGGGGACAAGGGCAGGCATGAGCCCAATATAATCCACACCTACTGCACTGCTTAGATTTCATCGGTTTGACACAAACTAGAGTCACCTGAGAAAGAGAGAACCTCATTTGCAGAGTTGCGTGCATCGTATGGGCCTGTGGACATATCTCTGAGGCATTCTTTGAGTAATGATGGATGTAAGAGGCCAGGTTGCCCTCTCTCAGAACAGCCTTAGCTGCTTAAGAAAGCTAGCTGAACAAACCAGAGGGACCAAGCCAGTAGGCAGCATTTTTCTATGTCCTCTGCCTCAGTTTGCCTCCCTTCATGGTGGACTGTAAGCTGTAAGATGAAATAAACACTTTTCTCTCTAATTTTCTTTTGGTCATGGTATTTATCTTTTTTTAATTGATTTTTATTGAGCTCTACATTTTTCTCTGCTCCCCTCCCTGCCTCTCCCCTCCCCCCTTCAACCCTCCCACAAGGTCCCCATGCTCCCAATTTACTCAGGAGATCTTGTCTTTTTCTACTTCCCATGTAGATTAGATCTATGTAAGTCTCACTTAGGGTCCTCATTGTTGTCTAAGTTCTCTGTGATTGTGATTTGTGGGCTGGTTTTCTTTGCTTTATGTTTTAAAACCACCTATGAGTGAGTGCATGTGATAATTGTCTTTCTGGGTCTGGGTTACCTCACTCAAAGTAATGTTTTCTAGCTCCATCCATTTTCCTACAAAATTCAAGATGTCGCTATTTTTTTCTGCTGTGTAGTACTCCATTGTGTAAATGTACCACATTTTCCTTATCCATTCTTCAGTCGAGGGGCATTTAGATTGTTTCCAGTTTCTGGCTATGACAAACAAAGCTGCTATGAAAATAGTTAAGCACATGTCCTTGTGGAATGATTGAGAATCCTTTGAATATATACCCAAAAGTGGTATTACTGGGTCTTGAGGAAGGTTGTTTCCTAATTTTCTGAGAAATTGCCACACTGACATCCAAGGGGTTGTACCAGCTTGCATTCCCACCAGCAATGCAGAAGTGTTCCCTTTTCCCCACAACCTCTCCAGCATAAGTTGTCATCAGTGTTTTTGATCTTGGCCATTCTTACAGGTGTAAGATGGAATCTCAGAGTTGTTTTGATTTGCATTTCTGATGACTAAGGATGTTGAACATTTTCCTTAAGTGTCTTTCAGCCATTTTAGATCCATCTGTTGAGAGTTCTCTGTTTAAGTCTGTATCCATTGTTTTTATTGGATTATGTGTTCTTTTGATGACCAATTTCTTGAGTTCTTTGTATATTTTGGAGATCAGACCTCTGTCTGATGTGGGGTTAGTGAAGATCTTTTCCCATTCTGTAGGCTGCCGTTTTGTCTTGTTGACCGTGTCCTTTGCTTTACAGAAGCTTCTCAGTTTCAGGAGGTCATGGTATTTATCAAATCAATGGAAAGCAAATTAGGACACACTACATATATGCATGGGACTGTCATCATGAAACTCATTTTTTTGTACAAACAATATACCATCACCTCAGCAAAATAACTCAAATACTGAGGAAATATTTAGGAAGAAAGAAGATCCCCTTGCCCTGAGATCATCGTGTCTATGAGACAGGCTCGGTGGCTGGTCTACTTTTTAATCCCTTGGCTATCTGGGACTTGCTCAAGAACAGCTTTATCTCCTGTTTCCTACCCCATCACATCTGCCTACAGATGTTCCTGTAAAAACTAACATCATTTGTCTCTGCGAGAGGCCACGGATCGCAAGGACTTGGAAGTCAATCATAGTTCCAGAATCTAATAGTTAACTACCGATATTTCCCCCCTAAACTTAATCCTGTCTAGGTGTCCTCATTTTAGCAAATGGCACTCATGCCAAAATCCAAAGTCCTTTGGCTCAGGCTACCCCATACTCAGCCCTTAGCAGTTCTTAGCATTTCTACCTTCAGACCCTTCCTGACTCC